TGTATCTGACGTCACTTCCCATTACGCGCGGAGGTCCCGGAGTCGCCGCCAAAAAGAATCTTCCAGCGTGTGTTAGGATGGTGTCGGAGAAGGAGGCAGCAGGTATCCGCAGGTTCGTGTGTGGTCAACTCCGTGGCGAGGCAGACCTAAGGTACAGTGGAAGCATTAAAGACGTGTTTGTGCTAACAATAAACGACATGGGCCTAACGTTTTTAGTTAGCATTCGGTTACTTAAACTGAAATCAATGCGATTCGGTTAATGTAGCTGAGTTGTTTGAATACTCCAGCCAGCAGCATGTTGTCCGTTCTAAAAGTAAAAATCAACCCCAAATGTGCCATTTACTACTGAGAAGATGGGACATATTTTAAAAGTATTATATTAACGAGTTCTCTGTTTATTATTGATTTCATTCCTTCGAGACGTTTTCTGATGCTAGCGTATCGATCTTTCAGTGACATTTTGGGTTTTTAAAACCTAAATATTATAGTTTTGCAAAAAGTGCAAGTAGCTTCTCTCGCAGGCATCGATTAGTGCCAGGATGTTATGAAGGATGCTCCCGTTTTTAGATATAATTTTCAGTGTGTTCAAAAGCCTAAACCTCAAATGTGGCAGTTACTGTAAATGAGAGCCTTCCTGCCACTCACAGATGTAATCTTTCTGCTGTTTTATTCCAGCACGCTGACCTTGGGAATTTTAAAAAAGAGATATCAGGCACACAACAAATGTGACTCATTAAGTCCAGAAGTAAAAACTTTAATGAAACAGGTGGTGCAAGAGGAACTGATGAAAATGCAGGTACCTGTTTTTGCTTTTCCGTATAGATAATGATATGCACTGATCAGCCACATCATTAAAGCGTTCACAGACAGTGCAAACTTCTGCTGAGAAACCTTAGGTCCTCATGTGGCTTTTATTTTGACATTTATCATTCATGTAAACATTACTCCATCTCCCAATGGCAACAGCTCTCTCCAACTGCAGAGCCCTTCTCTAGTAGTACAATCCCTCAAACTTGGCTACCTTCAAACTCCTCATATCCTGATTCCATCAAGCAGAGATGATCAAGCATTTGCTTAATTTTTGAGCTGTGCCACATTCAAAAAACACGGATTCAGTGAAATTCAAAATGAAATCATGTGTGTGCAAATATAAAAGATCCTGCCCACACTTTGGCAGAAGAATCAGACTCGCGTTTCATGTTCACATCGATGTAGTGGACGTCCAGAATAGAATCAACCCTTTGGGAAGCACCCATATACACTGAAACAAGCCCATACAGAGAGCATCACTTCTGCAATCTACAGAATCAAAAGCAATCCCAGCATCCACGTGCAAGACGCAACAGAATAGCCCTGTGTAACAGAGGTCCTGTCTCATAGTTGGTAGTATGAGAGGGATACTGTTGTTTTGCAGGTGGTTTTAATTTTGTGGCAGATCAGAATTTATGTATATATAATACATAAAATAATCGTCTATCAGTCTTTTACATTTACATTTTAGTTCTATAGTTATCATCTTTATAATTTGTTGATTTTCCTCATAGGATAATGATGAAAGTGAAAGTGACTCAGAGACTAAGAAGCCCCAGAACAAAAGGAAGAGAGAAAATGGAAATGATGAGGTCATGAGTGAGAGTGAAGATGAATCCAGGGCAAAGAAATCACGAAATAATCATTCAAGCTCATCATCAGGTAGGTCAGTAGTGTCTAATTCATTTTAACTAAGGACAACACTGGGAAATGAAAGCCTATAGACATATACAGTTTGTGCACATCGTTTAGCAAATGAAGCTTTTTAACATGCAGTTTGGTCCAACTAAAGCACCCAAACCTTGCGAGTGCGTTCTGATTACAGACCTGCAGAAAGGATACCCTGCAGCCAGCTTGTAATACCCTGTTTTACAATTTATTTCAAAATGATGGCACAAATGATGTAACATGGAAACAGAAATGATCCTTTGATAAATGGGTACACAGACCTCTGCTTGTGTTCAGTAAAGATCTAGGCTACTGACTCTTCTATCTCATTCGAAATTGTCTGCCTTCAGCATCAACTTCCTTTTTGGTCATATTGTAAGTTAGCTAACTTGTAACCCAGCAGGAGGCCAAAACTGAGCAAGCCAACATGAATTAAGAACCTTAAGCGATTTGTATGGTTATGCAGTATTTTTACTTACTATTAGAAGTAAAGGCAAGTGTATTTGATCATTTCAAGATTGCAATTCAAATATATTTTCTTTGTAAATTATACAATTATGTCCTTTTGTGGGTTAATAATGACAGAATCTGAGGCTCAAGAGGACAACAAAACAGAAAGTGAAGAAAGCAGCAATGATGAAGAAAATGCCAAATCTCAAGCTGATGGTGAAGAGCCAGAGGTGAAAAAATCACAACAAAAGAGAAATGAAAATCGTCAAATTGACAGTGACGAGTCTTCTGATGAGGAACTCAGTGAGGAAAGCAACTGCAGTGACAGTCCAAAGAAAATGGTGAGAAAGAACGTCGAGACAAGAACCAGCAGTGAAGATGAAGGAAGGAAAACACCACTGAGTGATGCAGAAAACGAATCAGTTGGAGACTGCAAGTCAGAAACGAGTGACAAAATTAAGAGTGACGAGTCTTCTGACAGTGAAAAAGGTGATCATGCAAAAAAAAATAAAATTAGTAATTACGTTTGTTGGCACAATATTTAATTGCTTGATATGTGGGGTTTCTGAGTTGGGATCGTCTGTTAATTGGAAAAATGGTGGTTCAATCCCCAGCTTGTACAGAATTGTGGTGTTCAGTGCAAGATGCTGAACCGTGAGTGGTCCCAAGTGTATCTATTGGAGTGTGAGTGTGTAAACGTTAGATTAAAAGCACTTAGGGGCAGGAAAAAAGCGACTGTTTATGATTGGGTGAGTGAGCTTTGTGGTAAGAAAGCACTTTGACTGCTCAATTAGTATAGAAAAGCATTATACAAGTACTAGTCCACTTAAGTTATGATTTACTGATGTGTTGCAGAAGATACAAAAGTGGAAAAGAAAACCAGTGACCCAGACTCAGATTCATCACTACCTTCTTTGGAAGATGAAAAAGAAAATAAGACTGATAAAAAGAAGATGAAGAAGAGTGTGAAGAAAGATGAGAGCACCAGAAAACCAAAGGTGACAGTCAGACGAAACTAAACTTTAACACACATTTAATCTGTATTGTACTTGGTGGTGCACACAACAGAAGCATTCTTTCATATCTTACAAAGGAGAACCTGAATTATTTTGTTTCTGGATGTATCTGATCCTTTAATTAAACACAATACTGAGTAAAGTTTTATAGTTGTGTTTATTTAGCTGCTTTCAATCAAATCTGCAAAACTAGACTAAAAGAGAGAGAACCCTGAAAACTATATAATGTGAGGCTGTAATGAAGATCTATAAAAATATCTTTTTCTTTTCACACCTTGTTTTTCCTCGGCTTCATCCTGCAGTCTGATGACAAATCAGTGGCAAGGCTCAAACGTTACATTGCCCTCTGCGGCGTGAGGAGAAATTACAAGAAACTGCTGGAGGACTGCCGCTCCATCCGCTCCCAGGTGGCTGTTCTGAAGAAGGAGCTTGAAGAGCTTGGTGTACATGGTGAGTAGGAACCCTTTTTTTGTCAAATAAAAATGAAGAAATACATTCTGGCTTATTTGCAGATTTAGATTCTTTAGCAATTACCCAACCCTAAAGAGTGAAACCATGAGTTACCGTTGTTTTCCTATCAACTTGAAACAATCGGGCCATTCTCCTCTGACCTCTGATATCAATAAGTCCTCTTCGCCCAAAGAATTTCCTGTCTAGATATTTTCTCTTTCACGGATAATTCTCTGGAAACCTTATGGATGGTTGTGAAGGAAAATCCCAGTAGATCAGCAGCTTCTGAAATACTTAGACCAGCCCACCTGACACCAACAACAAGTCATTTAAATCATGTTTCTTCCCTATTCTGATGCTCAGTTTGAACTTCAGCAGGTCTTCCTGACCATGTCTACATGCCTAAATGCATTGAGTGTATTAGCTAATTAGATGATTTGTCAGTGAGCAGTTTTATCTAATATAGTTGCCAGCGATCAATCGTCAATCACAGCACACATAGATGCTTAAAGTTAGCCACTGACCAAACACTGCCAGGGGTTTCTTCGAGCTTGATAGAGGAGCCCCAAAACAAAAAACTAAAAGTTAACACCCTATCTCTATAAACATATAAAAAGTTCCCAGGTTTGGTCCATAAACTGAAAAAAACTAAACCTCATTTTTGAATTGAACCACATGGGCAAATCGTCTTAACAGAACTTCTTTTTTTTTATATACTCTAACTCTAAAACATTTTTAAAGTCCATGTAATTCTGCAGATGGAAACTATCTGGTTTCATTTTGTAGTCTATGTGGTTACATTTGCATAGACTTTGAGACTTTAAGGAAATGTCACAACATTGGCTTTTTCCCTCAACAGCAGGGTCATCACATGGTAGCCAAGTTGTTTCCGTATTGAACAAACATGAAAATTAATTGTTGACAGTTTTGAATTTTTTATTTTTTTCATTACGCAGTTTGATGACTTAAAGCTTATTGTCTTCCACACAGGTCAGCCAACTATTCAGAAATGTAAAAAGGTCAGAATGAAGAGAGAGCGAGCTCAAGAACTGGCTGCTCTTGATGTCAACAACATCATTACCACACAAGGTAACCAGCTCTCTTGTCATACTATGACTCCTTCAGAGTTGTTTCAAATAGAGCGCTGTAGACACCATGATTCAAAGGATGCAACTAACGCAAAACAAATTGACATTGTTGTTTATGCTTATTGTTAATCTGATTTAATGATGATTTTAATAACAATTTAAATCTATATTTTTTGAGCAGATATGCAAACAACTGCAAAAATATCTCTAATAGTTTTACGTTTCCTTGTTTTTAGATGGGAATCCTAGACCTTGTAGCTTTGGTTTATTACCTGCTTATGTGGAGAAATGCACAATGCTCATCTTGTGGTGAATACTGAAGTGGTGTAGACAGTAGCGTCAGTTATGTTGCAATTCAGAACCTTTAATATGGTTTCTTCCAAGGTCGACCTACACGCAGGGGAGCCTCAGCAAGTCAGAAACAACAGGACTGTTCGTCCTCTGAATATCAGCGCACTCTAAACTCAGAATCAGACAGTGATCAGGAAAACAATACCCACAGAGGTCGCAGGAAAATGTCAGAATGGGCCAACCTGCAGGGGATCATCAGTGATGACGCAGACAGTGACTGATGAGTCTGGTTCCCCCCCCAGGAAGTGTTCGATTTGTTTGTTGGTTTTTTAATGTTTTGATACTAAGCATAACAAAATTAATCTGACTGGTTTTTTTTTATATGGCGATAACAGTGATCAAAAAGGATATTAATGGTGTTTGAGTGTTAAAATATTGTGAATGCCATTTTGTTAACTGCCATTGTATATCTTTGTTAAATCGTATTTCAAATAAAAATACTATGATTAAAATGGATTCATGTGGAGTAGTAATTTACTTTTATGACTGAAATACTGTTTGTGAGACAGACAAAAGAAAGGGATGTCATTCCAGAGAAAAGATGGCAAAGTTATTGAGATTTTCAAATGTGGCAATATTTGACAATTTATTTTAGAAATAAATTTGTAAACTTTTCACCTTCTGTAACCGTGCTAGATCCTTCTGTAGTCATGAGCAGTTATAAGAGTTTTGAATGACTCCAGTCATTTAATTAACAACAGGTTTTAATTAACATGTTACTGTGGAAGCGTAACTGCACCGGAACTGTCGTAAACTCTTCGCTATACGGACTATTTCGCAGACGGACTGGTCCCACGGTGTAATTTGACCGTTGTCATTTCTGCAGGTCAAGAAGGTATTTCACGTTAATTATTGCAATATTGTTTAGATTTTTCTGTTTTGAATATATAGGAGCACGGCAAAATGATTTCCTCCGATACTACATAAATATTTATTCCCAGCAGACAGCGTAACCTGATAAACTGTAAAGACGGCGTGGATTTGACCGAAGACTGCTGCAGACAGCATAAAATCACAGCTGTTTGCGAAAACTCAGCATAACCTAAAATGTATTTATTTTTTTGGTATTTTCACTGTGACTGTTTATTTAAACCATCTATGTAAAATAAGTCAGTAAATGTACGACTGTTAAATCCTAGCAAAACTTTGCACTTAAGGTTTATAAATATGTAGCTACATGTAATAATCTCTTTAAAAACTATTTCCTATGACACTGAGGTTTCGGTACATGTGTTTACGGAACATTGGGATGACTGCCTTCACAAAGTGGTGTGTTTGTATTGTAATACCCATTCTGAACGTTTAAACATTGCGTCTGACAGATGTCCGCCATATTATAACAATTTAAAAGAGAGAAATGCTTTCAAACAATAAATACTAAATAAAAACAAACGAATCCTTCTGAAAACCTTGGGTGCAGGACACCCAAGACATTTAAGACTTGTAGTACACTGAATCATAACTGTGTTTGTTTGGTGATTATCTTCTGTTTGTTTAAATTAGCATGATGTCCACTGATGTGCTGCTGGGATTTTCTTCTTTATCCATACACCATCTACTCTGTCTGAGCCATTGCATCCTCATCTAAGCAATACATTGTGCATTTCTATTTGAGCTCTGTCCTTTTATTATATTTTCTCCTATTTCCCCCCTGCCTTTTTTTTCTGTCTGTCAGCTTACACTAGTCTATATTACATATAATATAATAACTGAAATAACACAAGTAAAAATGATGAAATAAGCATAAAACAAACACATTAACAGAGGAGCCTTTAGAGATTTTATACTTCACACCTTGAAAAAGCAAAATGCATTTGGCACAACAGCACATTCAGATTATAATTCTGATTGCAAAATACTAATAATTTTAAAAAGTATTTGTTTGGTAGAACAAAAAGAAGAAATATTTCACAATGTTGTGCTTTCGAGTTTTAGTGTGTTCTTTTAATTGAGTTTATGTAAATCCTGCATGGAGGAATGGATGATGACACACCAGATGAGGTTATTGCTGAGTTGAAGTCCAGGCCCATTGGAGGATGGGGTGTTGCTCAGATAGCCGCTGGCACTGGGCTTGCTGTGTATGCCATGTGGGCAGGAATCCTCCAGCCTGGCTTCCGAAAAGTCCCCTTGAAGCTACAGGTTTGTCTACGTTGTCTGAAATAACCTTTTTTATAGCAGTGCTCTTGCATCACTCATTTTTACTTCAGCTCTTTGAAATTTCTCCCAGGTTCCCTACATTCCTGCCAGCAGAGCCCAAGTACAAAATGTGATGACCCTTCTCAGAGGTCGACAGGGAGGTCTTGTGGATTTAGGATCTGGTGATGGTCGTATAGTAAGTATAAACAACATATTTGGGCTGCTTTTTTACTTGCACTGATAAATAACAGGGCTTCGATGTGTTCCTAAGGTCTTGGAAGCCCATCAGCATGGCTTCATTCCTGCTGTCGGTTATGAGCTCAACCCCTGGCTTGTTCGCCTGGCCCGATTTTATGCATGGAGAGCAGGGCATCATGGAAAAGTATCGTATCGACGAGAAGACCTCTGGAAGGTTTGTCACTTGCGTGTGGTATCAGTGATGCTCGCATGCAAATTTGCAGAATTGCTTCACAAAAAATAAATAAATAAATCTCTTGTAAGTAACCAAGCATGTTTATGAACGTTTCCAAGGTTTTTTTTATCCTCATATTAATGTGACATTTAATACTTATGTAACTAAATGCTTCAGGAAAGCCAAATGCTTTATTTTGCTTGAAACAAAATTACTGTTAAAGCTGTTCGCTTATTTATATCCTTCCTTTTATCTCATCACAGGTGGACTTGACAAAATGCAAGAATGTCACTGTGTTTTTGGCTCCTAGTGTGGTGAGTAATATTGTGAACATATACATGAGCTATGAACTGTTTATAATGGGGAAATAAAGAATGAAAAATATTTTGGGTTCATCCAACATAGGATAAAAATAGATGTGGTACAGTGGATTATTGGCAGGCATTAGATAATTTTTATGAACATTATTATTAAGTAGTAGTGTAGTGACCGAAAGAACGAGATCGCGGATACAAGCGGCAGAAATGAGCTTCCTCCGAAGGGTGGCTGGCCTCTCCCTTAGAGATAGGGTGAGAAGTTCGGCCATCCGGGAGGGGCTCAGAGTAGAGCAGCTGCTGCTCCACATCGAAAGGAGCCAGTTGAGGTGGTTCGGGCATCTGACAAGGATGCCCCCTGGGCGCCTCCTGGGTGAGGTGTTCCAGGCATGTCCCACCGGGAGGAGGCCCCGGGGCAGACCCAGGACACGCTGGAGAGATTATATCTCTCGGCTGGCCTGGGAACGCCCTGGTATTTCCCCGAACAAGAGGAGGTGGCTGGGGAGAGGGAGGTCTGGGCCTCTTTGCTTAGGCTGCTGCCCCCGCGACCCGACCCCGGACAAAGCGGATGACGATGGATGGATGGATGGATATTATTAAGTATTGCTGTAATTTTAGCTTTTCTCTTGTGTTTGCAGCTTTCGTTGTTGCAGGAGAAGTTAGAGGCCGAGCTGCCTGATGATGCCTTAGTGGTGGCAGGCCGTTTTCCCTTTCCTGACTGGAAACCTTGCATAATTGAGGGACATGGCGTGGACAGAGCTTGGGCATACAGCGTGCAAGAACAAAGACAGCACACTGTCAACAAAAATAACCTCACAGCCACAGAGTCTTTTACAGTGAACTAACCAAAGCCCTATATATGTATATATATATATTTTTTTTGCTCTCCTACAATTGTAACATGGACTTTTATTAATTTGCTGCTTTTATGACATAAATCACATTCACTGAAATGTGACAGATTTTTTCAACATCTGCAGCAGGATATTTCACACATGCTGCTGTTGCTTTACTCCTCTGTGGCCCGGGGACTGTGTTCACAAACAGAGAGAGAATCCTGTCAGAGAGCTTGAATAATGGTGTACTTATAAAAACAAAGTAATATAATTAATTCATAGTGTGAGTGTGAATGGTTGCCTGTGTCTCTGTGTTAGCACTGCGACAGACTGGCTAATTATTAGTCAGTTAGTCATCTAAGAAGGGAAGACTTTTAAATATTTATCTGCTCTGGAGTTTGCATTGCCACCCATATAATAAAGAGCTGTAAGTAACGTTCTGTTTTTGATACCATTAATTTAACTCTTTGTTGTATGTGTAATATTTGACTTAAGAGAAGTGTTTCAATCCCAGAATGCAGCAGGCTTTTCTGAAGTAGCAAAAGTGTAAATGCTCTGTGAATGTAGATTAAAGGTGCTTGGTGCTGGCAAAAATGTTCTGTGTGTGCAATGTGGCTTCAAGTAACTGAGCACATGGTATCCAAAGTGTCCATGCAGTAACAACAGCACAGTTGTTGTACTATATGCATTGCTGTATTCTTGTATGACACAGTAAGCTTTATAAATGTTATCTACTGTATGTATACATGCATGCATCTATCCTGTGTTGTAAATAATCATACATTGCTCCGTTCTCTAGTGTTTTGTTCTTCTTTCGGCTGCTCACTTTAGGGGTCGCCAAAACAAACGATGCTACTGCTCTATCCCCAGCATCCACCTCTGTCACATCAACCGTCTGCATGTCCTTCTTCACTACATCTATCAATCTTCACTGTGGTCTTCCTCCATGTCAACCTTGCCTCTAACACTCTTACTAAACATCTCAACTTCAGCTCTATCCTGGTCGCTTCCAGTGAAAAGCATAAAATCTTCAGCTCTTTCTTCAGTTTTTTTTGTCAGTGCCTTTACCTCCAAACCATACACCAAAGCTATTATCTTTGATACTTTGAATTTCACTATTGCTTCTATCCTTCTGTCACAAATCACCCCTTACCCTTGTCTCCACCCACTTCTGCCTGCAGTCTCTTCTTTGCCTCTGTTGGGCTCTGTCCATCGCTTTGGATGGTTGAATGGAGGTATGTCAACTTGTCATTCAGACACGTGTTCTGTCTTGCTTCTACTGGCTTTTATTTCACTTTAATTTTCTTTATTCCGGAACATACCTCCAGCCTCCAGCCTGTCCTCAGTGTCCTGCACCACCCACACATACTTCCCTGGCACTCCTGACTTCCTCATGCAGTACCACAGTTCTTCTCTTGGCACCCTATATCATGTGCTTTCACTTTTAACCCACATCCATAGAGACAAAATGCCATTCCTTCTGACCTTCTCTGTACTTCTCCATCAACACTCAAAGCAAAAGTCGCATTTGTAGTGCTCTTTCTTGACATGGAGCTATACTGCTGCTCTAAATAACCTAGCTCCATCAACTCTTTTCCATAGCTTAATGGCATGGCTAATCAGCTTTATCCCTATTTAGTTATTACAGTTCTGTACTCACCATTGGTCTTGAATATCTGTACCAGTACACATCCATTCCTCAGACATCCTCTCACTTTCCAATATAGTGTTAAATAGTCTGGTTGTGGCATGTATAGCTATTCTTATGTAAATTATAAATCTTTCACCTTTACCTGTATAGTGAATACAATTCTCCTGTATATGACAATCTTGGGTTTTAAGTGCTAATAACTATCTGTTATATATAAGATATAGTGCAAACTTTATCAATGGTCCTTCTCCTGTTTATATAACCTTACTTCTTTGAAAGCCAGGCAAATTCCTGTATTTGTATGTTTGTGTGGGCGAGCCAGGTTTCAGCAGAAGCACAGTATTATAATAGCATTTTGCATAAGGCTTTTTAGGGGAAATGACAACATGAAACATATGAAGGTATTTTTTTAGAGTAAATTCATTCGTTTCATTTTACCTTTGTTCATAACTTTGAATTATTTAACAGTAAAGTGTTTTAATTTGAAAGCTATAACCGGAGACTGTGTTTTTTCTTAATGTGAGTGACTTGACAGAGCTGATTGGGTTGTTTGCAGCAAAAGAGGAAGTTGCAATGGAGACCCTGAAACCTGCAAGCTAGCTTTATTCTTGAGCCGCCCTAAGCACCGAGAAGGGGAATGACAGGAACAGTCGCTGATAGCATTTTATAATTATTGTTGTTGCGGATTTGTAAACGTTTATGTTTGTGCGTTTTTAAAGCCCGCTTTGACTTTAGAAATCGAGACTGTCGTGTCCGGACACAGGAGCATGTCTGCGGTTGACAGTTAGCGAACGAAAATTATTCCTTCATCCTTCTAGAAAAGCTAACTGGCTAGCCATCCGCTGCAGCGTTAGCAACTAGGTAATTTAGCATCAAAATGTCTGACACAAAACGCTAATTAAAGCTGCCCACTTACGTGGTGTCGGCTAGATGCTGACAAAACTATATTTCTGTATTCAACCTAACGGTGGAATTAGCGTTGAGCTGCAATGCGGCTAGCCTCTGGGCTCGGCATAGCTAATTTAATGTCAAGTCTTTATGCCTGGTAGTCGAAAACCGCGTTATTCGAGCAAGGTTAAAAATATATATATATATATACACATTCAAAGCACAGTCAGCGAGGCCAGCCTTTGCTAGCTAGTTTTATGTAGATATCAGTTTAAGCAGTCGAGCTGAGCATGATGATAACCCTTTGCGGTTACGGTAGCCAGCAGTACCATAGCTAATGTTAGCCGCACGATTGGCTAACTGGGTAACTAATGTTGGCTTATTACTGTAATTAACCAGCGACTAAGTCAACTGAAGACAGCATCCGAGCCAGCTAAACATGGTAAGTATAATTTAAACTCTGGTATTTATCCAGTTGTTCATCTTTCTTCCTCCCTTCCTGCTGAGGGCTAACGCAATGGATAAGCTTAACTCTTTATTCTACTTCTGAATATAAAGATCTGTCATTAGTGAAGATAAATACATTAGCATACAACTGGCAGCGTATGGGGATAGGTTGTATGCACTTATACCTGTATACCTTTTTTGTTATCTAACGGTTCTGAGGCCAGGTATTTCACAGGATGTGACAGCTCTTAAAGCCATTTTACGGCACAGGACGCCCATCTTGCAAAACCGAATATTTTGTTTGACTAGTGTTGAGTCTCGGCAAGTTGTGGCTTATTTGTGGAATTCAGACTTGCCTGGCATAGGGGCTAAAATCTCGATATGCTATCTTGCGTTCGGTAGGCAAGGCCCAACTTCATCCACATGAGAAAACAAGGGTAGTGCCAAACTATATTACGATTAAGCCTGTGCTGTTGCCTTTTATAACTAAGTGCTTTAACCAAACAGCAAGCTGGTGTAATAATTGGCTATAAGAACAAGATACTTGTATGCCAGTGTATTGTTCTCTTTACTATGTGTGAACATGTGTATGAGGACTCTCTTTCTGTATTTAAGCACGATTGAGTGGTTATACCACGATTGTACACAAAAAACAAAGGAATTCCTCTAAAGACTTAGTGATTCTATGCTCTATATGGTGATGGATCGCTCATGTTGTTTGTACTTTACTTTCTATTACCTATTAGACTTCAGAGGAGGCATCGCTGCGCGCACTAGAGGGCCTGATGACGGAGTTCTTTCATAGCTGCACAACTAATGAGCGAAAAAGAGAAATCGGTAAGTAAGGTCTTGCAAAACAGTACACTTAAGAAGTATGACCATGATGCAGTATTTCAGTATTTTAAGGTTCCCATCAGGATGGTCTGAAATGGAAACGACACAGAGCAGTGTAAGAATGTGTAATTGAGGGTTAATGTGCCTACCCCATAATCATCCACAGTAACGTACAAACGTTTCATGCACGTTGACCACTCCTCCTCATTTCCTGTGTGATTACCTGTTTTTGCTCTTGAATAAATTCAAAATATCTACAGTAATTAAAGAAGAGCTAAAAATGTTTAATTAAATATGGAAAAAGGAACCTAATCAATGCATTTCTTGGTGAATGTTGGTCTGTCATTCATATCTGTGGATAGGTTGACCACAATGTGCTCATGTTGTGCGAGGCTAGTTGACTCTTAACTTTAAACATTTCTAATCGGTACCAGCCCTTGCTAATTGTTACCAGAAGTACTATACCATTTCTATACCATTTAAAATGTCTCATAGCACATGCATTAACTTTAAAATTGTTATGTGCTTTATCAAAGGGAAACCTTTGTAGAGCTCAGTTCTTGGTTTAAAAAAAAAGAAAGCTAAAGGAGCCTTTGTCTTTTGATGTAGATGAACGGTAGAGTTTCCTCTATGTGAAACTCTCTTGCCCTTATCCTTAAAATTCTTAAACGATAGTATATTTCTGCTTTGAATAGTCTGGATCTATAAATACAGAGATACTGTTGAGTGTCAGGATCATGTTTAAGGTGGTCTAAAATTGTTTTGTTTCTATAAAAAACATTAATCTTTTGCATTCTTGGTTTTTTAAATCCACTTCCTGTGTTGTGACGCATTACTTTCAGGCTGATTGCTAGCGAGGTGCTAGTATTGAACTACTTCTGTGAGAGCTCATGCTTACTTCCTTTTTTCTGCAGAAGAGCTGCTGAATAACTTTGCACAGCAGACTGGAGCGTGGCGCCATTGCATGTTCTTCCTCTCCAATACTCGGAATGAGTATGTAATGATGTACAGTCTCACAGTATTTGAAGTAAGTCCTGTAGGTGGAAGATGCATCTTCTCAGTTCAAAGTACTAGCAAGAGCTTTCTCTCCTTCTTTTTTTCAACATTTTGTTTTCAGATAATTTTAGATACTTAATACATGCATACTGCAAGAAGAGGCGTATGTTAACAAGAATGTGTTTCATGGCCTTTTCCTGTTTCCTCATTTTTTATAATTCTGCAAGTGAAGTTAGTTAAAAGTGTAGCAAATTTACCACAGAATGAAAGAATGAGCATAAAGTGCCCTTTAAAAACTGCCTTTAACTTAAAATGTATATCTGAAATGCTTAATTTTTTTTAACCTCATTATATTATGTTTCAGACTAATCTTAAATGGATTACATCTTTTATTTAATATAAAACCTTTACTGAAGTATTCCCTTTCTTGCATATGACATCCTACTTTTATCCGTGGGTTGTGGGGTTGTTGTACAGCTGATTGGGACTTGTGCCTTAATTCAACATAATTTAGAACCGAAAACATCAGCCTTGACTTTCTCTCACTATCTGTGGTGTATGTTAGAGTTAAAACCAAGCTATGAGATTTAGAGAATTTCCTGCAAGCTGTGATTCAAGTCTAGTGAGAGCTGGAGGGGGTTGCAATTAAAAGAACTCAATACAACTCAGAACACGGAAGCAAAATCCTGTGGTCTGATCCATTTGTTCCTAATTACCTGTCCAGTTTATGGCTGCAATGAGATGAAGCCTGTCCAAGCTTTCATAAGACAAGACGCAGGGTACACCCTGGACAGGTCGCTGGTTCGTGGAACACAAAAAGTGTGTTTTGCCACACTGTGTGGAGGGAACCAAAGACAGGCAGCTGTTAGTAGCAGCAGCATGATGGGATGGTGTTTTTCTTAGATGGTGGATGGTCAGGAAGGTCAGATCGATGCTGGAAAATGATGAGCAGCCCTGTTCAGTGAAAGCCTTTTTTC